CTTGACCTGACGATTGCATGACCCTGTGCCAGGCAAATGGACCCAATTCTCGACATCCACACTACGCCGTCCCAGTCCCCGATTGGCCAGGGAATTAATGACAATATTGCGTTCTTATTCGTTTGACCGTCTACATACGTACCATCAATTTAGCAATAGACGCTCACAGTCTTCACGTCCGCGCGCACCGGCTGCTCGCGCTAATTTGATTTGAATTTCGAAAATTCACCAAACGGATTTCCTGTTTTTCGTTCGAATTAACCGTTTCGAATTGTTTGTTTATTGATGTTGTTGTTTTTTTTTTATTAAAATGGTGGACTGAAATGATATTTTTGAAGGACGGGGACGGGGTGAATTTTTTTATGTGTTTCGCCAATATGGCTTTGTAAAAAAAATTGTGATGGATTATTCGGACCTCTTTGAATGTTATTGTATTACTGTGATTTGAAGGACTCTATATAAAGGTGAGGAAACGTGGTTCTATGTGGTTTATTTCGCGTGATACAGGTTTTTGTCTCCTGATTTTTTACACTAATTCTAGACTAAGTAGTATTTAAAATCACTAATATCCTCATTATCATGCATACCTTTTTTTTGATGAAGGGCGGACGGAAACCTTCAAAAGGCGCCTAGGCTTTTTGGGGATAAAAGACTAGGGAGTGTGGGATTTTTACCCCACTAAAACCACCCCGCCCCGTGGCTACCCTCAACACCATTATCATTCATACATATACGACATAAAAAGGCAAATTATCATTTATATCACATTTCTTGCCTAAAACCGACAACATACGCTGCGTACGCGCCTGGAAAATGGCACGTTTTTACTTTTATCTTCTTTAAATACTTATAAAATGGTAGATTTATCGTGATTCTCAAAGCCGCGGAGAACGTATAAGTTTGCTGGAGCTCCGGCTCGAAGTGCAGGAGTAGGAACAGGGTGATTTTTAGTCAGTAAGAGTCTGACACTTACCCATCACATCCAGGCGAGAGAAGTCATTCGATAATATTCCACCCTTAATAGGTACCTCTATTTTCAAACTTTTGCCCTACCAATCAAAACGTAAAATAACTTACTGTAATTGAAATCTCAAAAAATCCTCCATTTATTTTCAAAATCGTTGTTCGCAACTTATAACGAATTAACACAGCGATGACACATTTCCTAGAATACAATGACAGAGCGTTGTTCATTCAATTAATGAATTAATACCATTTTATGGGAAATCTCCATAACGAGTATGGTTTTATTGTTGATTGAGATTGAGAAGCCCTGTTTTTGATTCCTTGATTGAGTTAATTGGTGTTTTTGCCTTAAGGACAATCTTAGTGAATAAATTGCACCAGTGAATAAATCTTACTGCACCCTTAAGTGACTAATTGCACCCTTAGGGCCGATTTTTCAATTACCAGGTAATTCTTGTCTGTGTCGTGGTACTCGTGGTGGCCCAGAGGTTTAAGAGGTCCGCCTATACCGCCGAAACCTACTAACGGCAAGTGCCAATGTGACTTTTTCCGAGTTATATGTACTTTCTAAGATTATCTAGACACCACTGACAAATGGTGAAGGAAAACATCGTGAGGAAACTTGGGCTTATAATTTCTAATAAGTTTGAAATCGCCAACCCGCATTGAGCAAGCGTGGTGATTAATGCTTAAACCTAAACCTTTTCCGTGTGTTAAGAGGCTTTTCTCAGCAGTGAGCTTTATAGGCTGTTGATTGTGATGATGAGTTAATTCGTAACTTTAGAATAAAATTTACATTTGACAGTTTTTAGTATGAAAGAATTGACAAATATTCAATATTATTCCTCATTTAAAATTTATCTGTCGTTAGAAAAATCGTCCTTTTGTCTCCCTGCGGATGTCGTGAGACTTTTTTTTTAAGGGGGGAAAATCTTTGAATGACTTCTCCCGCCTGGGTGAGGCGGGAGGGGGTGTCAGACTCTTACTGACTAAAAACCACCCCGTTCCTTCTCCTGCACGTCGAACCGGAGCCCCGGTTACCCGTTAGGTTCTCCGCGACGTGTCTAAGACTAAAGGACAACATTTAACAGAGATCGGGTAGCAAATCTCTCTGGTATATCTCATGGCGTAATGGCGTGTGTCGTGGCGTAGTAAATAATTTTTCTTTCTTTCTTTCTTTCTTCATCATCATCAGCCTATAAGTGGCCACTGCTCTTAGCTCTTTTTAAAAACGTTGCCCCACACTAGCATTTTCTCCTGTGTCGTGGGTGCGCTCACAAACATACAAGTTCACATACACATGACACCCAGACCCGGAACAACAATCTGTGGATCACACAAAGAGTTGTTCCGGGAATCGAACGCGCGACACGTGGCGCGGCAGCCGGTTGCCCAGCCACCGCGCCGACCTGCTGACCAAAGCCTCTTTCTCGCACGGAGGTTTGAACATTAATCATTCTAATTAATGCATTTAAAGCAGCCTTGACAATATAGACTTAATTATTCATTTTAAAAAATATTTGATTAAACCGAACATATTATTATAACCAAAATAAAATGTGTGTTTTATCTTAATACACCATAACTAATGGACATTGTTTTAACACATTATTTGCGGTTATATGACGCAAATACAATGTTTATATATGTACAAGTGTCCAGAGAAAGCTAAATATTACTTTAACCAGTTGAGAGGAGATCAGCGGTTGGAAAGTTGGGGTTCCAACCTGATTGTGTCAAATTTTTCGCTAATTTATCGGTATCAAGAACTCAAGAACTATTGTTGCGATTTGAAAAATTCCTTTTGTGTTGGATAGCCTATTTATCAGGGAAAGTTGTAGGCTATAAAATGTCACGCTACGGTCATTAGGTGCCGAGCAGTGAAGTGAAATCGCTGAAGTAGATAGTCTATCATATTAAGATGTTTATGATGTAGGGCATTAAACAAGCAGACTGGTCTCCTGATGGTAAGCACTCAGCGCCACCCATGGACACAGTATCATCAGTACATTGCCGGTTTTTTGGAGTTAGGAGGATTGCTTGCTTGACTTCAATTCCCATGACCAGGAGGCCCAATCACCCCTTCCCCTCTTTCCCAATCCCTAAGTCCCCAACAATCCTGAAATTCCTAATCCCAAAAGGCCAGTAACGCACTTGTAACGCCTCTAGTGTTCCATGTGTCCATGGGCGACACCGATTGCTTACCATCAAGTGATCCGTTTGCTCATTTTCCGGCCTATCCCATAAAATAAGAGTCCATAGACAGAAACTGGCAATTTTTTGTTTATCTTCATGCATCACCATCAATAGACCGTGTCCACCCATTGTTGGGCACAGGCCTCTGTTAGATTTCAAGAAAATGTATTGCTCTTTACAGGGCTCAATTCCAGACTTCGCTACTTGTCAGAAAAAGAAAATCCGATTATAAACTTTGATCAGGGGCTTTGCCTGCAACCACTTAACTAAACGCTGAACTTTAGCGTAAAAGACGTCGTCTAATGCCCAAAATAAGTAGATCTTCTATCCCCTCCCAAAATCTACGTCTCCGAAGACCCTCTATAAATTGGCGCACTCTTAACCATTATCTCGTGATCCCCTACCCCTTGTACCAAGTACCATCCCAAAGGTCTTGAGTCTGGTACTAAATTATTCACTTAGTTTTATATGTGGAGGCCTTGGGCGTCAATTTCTATTTGCACACTGTGGTCGCCAATTGGTGCCACGTGACAAAATGGCTGCCGAGACGCGCTCGCTCGAGAAATCAAGGAATAGAGGCGTTGGAAATTAAATCTTATTATTCATACAGATGGAGATGAGATGAATTGATTTATGTATCTGTTATTTAGAAGAAAATACGTGTTTTATCATTTTTTTTATAAATGGTGCGAAAATTTTGGTAACTGTGATAAACTATGGTCAGTAGCAGCGCTTCTGACACCGCGTCATGAGTCGCGGAATGCTGCTTATGGATATGAACCTGTAAAATGGTTTGAAACTAGTCTATTTCGTTGACAAACAGTTACTTGATTAAGCCGAAAAGCATCGTCTCTATGAATTAATACGTATTGTAAGAAAATGAATCGCTTTCTGGAGAGGGACTTACGAATAGCTAACTTTAGACGGAGACCTCTCCATCTCTGTAAAGCTATTTTGAAGGTCATGGTAAAAATATGTAATCCGCAACGCACTTATAAAGTCCTCTGATGTTAGGAATGTCCATGGGTGGCGTTAATCGCTTACCATCAGGTCATTCGTCTACTCCTTTGCCCCTCAAAATAATAATATAAAATCACGCCTTTTATCCCCGAAGGGAAAGGCAGAGGTGCACATTACGGCACTTAATGCCACTGTACAATGTAACATTCACTTTTCACTATTTATGTTATGAGTCCCATGTAATAGGGGATGAGCCTATTTCCATATACCGGACACATTTCCAGACTCCGTGCTACTACTGAGATTTTTAAAAACCCAGTAATACTTTCCCGACTGGAATCGAACCCGAGACCCCTTGCCCGGCAGTCGCACTTGTGACCAAAGAGGCAGTCAATAATAACATTATAATTAATTTTGGTCTAAAGTTACAAGCTCAGAGTAGGTATCTTAATCAATGCAATGTATTTTGTAGTTAACCAGACTCTTCTTATTATTTCCAGGAGCCGTAGTACAACGCCCCGCCCGCAGGCCGCTTGCTACCCCACGAATCGAGAGGTTCACCCATTGTCCCCTGTGCCACATGGAGCCCATCCTCGCGCAACCAACATATTTGATTGGAAACCGCTTCACGAAGAAATCCTTCTCGGGAAACTTCCCTCATCTGCAGTATTACCATTGTCGTTCTAACTCAAACATGCTATTGAAAATAGAAAACGAACTATTACAAAGTCACCGTCAACGAGAAACGACCGGTATTAAAAAATTATACAACTCGTTCTTCGTTCTATTTTAACGTGCTCGAAAGTTATCTGCCTAAAATCCATTCAATCATTTCATTCATCATTCAGTGACTCTTGTGTTGGCATGGCCAAATTGTGATGGAATATTATTCAGAAGAAAAGGACTATATTATGCATGATAGCCGGAAAGAAGATAACTATATTTGGGAATCTAGTGTGAGGTTGGCTCTTGTGGGGAGGGAAGAGGAACTCGGGATGTATTTGGAGGAGCGAGAGGGTCGGAAGAGGAAGTGGCAGGGGGAGGGGAAGATGATGCGGAGGGATGAGAGCGAGGAGAAGGAGCAGAGGAAGATTCCACCGAAAAAAATTATGGGTAAGTCTCTAAGCATTGTTTTTCTAGGTGTGGGGAAATGGGGTTGGTTGTCACAGACGTGATATATACAACTTACCAAGCAAAATGCGAAATATATTGATAGAAGTCTAAGCATCGGCGTCGAAGAGATGTGATACTTTAACGATTCTTAGCCGCCAAACGTCAAAAATGACCGATAATAACCATCGACTGTGCTGCAACCAATCCTAGTTTACCGTGAACAAACCTTGAACAGCCAGTGCTGTCATGTCATGTATGTCGTGATTTTATTGGTAAGTTACGTTCGACCGATGTCAGTAGGTACTTATTGTCAGTCAAGCACTAAATCAAAGCTTTTTTGAAAGAATTAGGGCCTGTTTCACAATATTATTATCTGTGCCTTTAGCCAAACGCCACTTTAGCGCTTGTCTACAGAGAGAGTAGAAATCAAAATGTATGGGAATGACACTGACACGCGTCAAAATTTACGTCAATTCCATATAATTTGGTTTTCTACTCTACAAGTAGACAAGCGCTAAATGGCATTTGGCTACAGCTGCTGGATAGCCGTTATCTACCAGATAAATTTGAATTAATAACGTAATTTATATGAACTATCTGTCACATAAGTTTATCAGGTACTTACATAGAGGTGGTGAAACCGGCGCTTAGTGTCTCGTAGTACCTTATTAAAATTAAATGTGTGAACAATATATTGGGTTATTATTAAACTTTCTGTTCAATGACGGAAAAGATTATTTCCCATTGAGATGTCAAAAGGTTTTTAGCGCCCTTGAGAAGAGGATTTTTTTCAAACGAAAGCTTTTTTTTATGGCATAAGCCAGTAAACGAGCAGACGGATCACCTGATGGTAAGCAATTGGCTTCGCCCATGGCCACCTGGAACACCAGAGGCGTTACAAGTGCGTCACCGGCTTTTTGGGGATTAGGAGTTTGAGGATCGTTGGGGATTCAGGGATTGGGGAGATTGGAGAAAGGGACGGTAATTGGGCCTCCGGTAACCTCACTCACACGACGAAACACAACGCAAGCGTTGCTTCACATCGGTTTTATGTGAGGCCGTGGTATCACTCCGGTCGAGCCGGCCCATTCGTGCTGAAGCATGGCTCTCCCACACTTAAGATTCGTCTAGATGAAGGATTACCAACCTTTTCTTGGTCAAGGACCACTTTTTAAATCATTTGTTAGATTAGGGTGGTCCCTAAGTGGTGGCATTAGTCTACTAAATAGGTATTACTTTCTTTCATGTGGTCCAGACCAAAATCTTCTCTTGAGTCGTAAATAGTAACTTTACAATTAGGCTTGTTTTCATAAAAATAGTGACTACTATTATTGAAATCAGTTGATCTTCTTAATTGTCTTCTTTGACATAAGTTTCATTTGAACTTTAATCGTCGAAATTATTGGAAACAACAGCACAAGACTTCTGTTTTGTTTTTTTTTTTAATTTCGCGGACCATATTTCGTCTTCTGCGGACCACGAGTGATCCAAAAACCACAGGTTAGGAACCACTGTTCTAGATTCTAGACAAAACAGTAATATTTTCTACCAGAGATTTCTAAAACATCCTTAAAAAATATCCATTGACTACCCACCCATCCGTAAACCAACCTAGCCTACCTGTTGCTTAACCTATAAACGCGCTTAAATCGAAACAAAGCATAGTGTCAAACATAGATCTACGCTGTAGTTATAATGAATGATGGACTGTTTAAATATTTTCACAGAAAATACAACGTTACTGATATAAGTTATTATATTTAACTAGAAGAAGACGTTTGTTGATATAAGCCTGCCAATCAGCGATGACTGGCCATAGATTATGTATGAGTAAATAGGACAATTTTGTTGTTGTATTCTGCCTACACGGTTGGTAAGTATTTTGTGGAGCTACATTGTGTTGATTTAAGCTTTGCAATAGACTCACCCCCTATTATTTATTTATTTAACACTTCATGTATAACAGTATACAATGGCGGACTTAATGCCGAATGGCATTCTCTACCAGCCAACCATATTACATGGGACTCATAAAATAAAAAGAGAAATGTGAGTGTTACATTGTACAGTGGTATTAAGTGCCGTAATGTACACCTCTGCCTACTCCTTCGGGGATAAAAGGCGTGATATTAAGTTATGCATTTCAGATTCTAATCTAAATGTTGAGTAATAAAATGTAACCAACATGTCAACGTTCTCGTTTGTAGTCCACATTATGTACTAATTAATTTGTATCTAGAGATATACCTATCCCTACGATACCTCGTCAGGTAGTTATTTAATTTTATGGCCCTTGTTTTTAATTTTCTCATATATATATGCTCTTTTATAAGTGTTTTCAAACTCGGAACCGTGCCACGAGCAGTTACAGTTGATAACCTCACTGAGGCAAACACAATTTAGGCAGAATACATTAGTAATATATTAGTATTAATCTTTGCCACAACTGATAATGTAATAATGAATTATAAAATATGACACAGAAAACAGTTCTATAAGACGCGTCGCGATCGACTAACGTGCTTGCGATTATTTTGTCGCACGATTAAAAAGTGTTGTGCCTTCAAAACCGTATCAGTGCGATTTTTCGATTATATCGTGATTTTTTGGACTTTATTTTTTATGTTCGAATGGTATTTTTGTGATTTGTATTCTTTTATCATATTTCATAATGTATTTTTAATACTTAATTTATTTTTAAATATGTCGGTCTGTTGTCTTGGATAAGTCAAACTTGCTACCATCAGTTGACTGGACTACATGAGCCGCTGTTGTGTCGCCTGGACAGTCAACCTCGCTACATCCTTGTTGACTGGACATCTACACTACATGAGCCGCTGTTTACACGTGAACATTAGCTCATGACGATACCTAAGTACGTGTGTCGCCTGGACAGTCAACCTTGCTACATCCTTGTTGACTGGACATCTACACTACATGAGCTGCTGTTTACATATGAACATTAGCTCATGACGATACCTAAGTACGTGTGTCGCCTGGACAGTCAACCTTGCTACATCCTTGTTGACTGGACATCTACACTACATAAGCCGCTGTTTACATGTGAACATAGGTTCATGACGATACTTTAGTGCGTGTGTTGCCTCATCAATCAACTTCGCTATCATTAGGTGACAGCCAATCTTGAAATATTTGGAATTTGGTATCTAAAACGGTTCGTCTATCCGTTGTATCCCAATATACTCGTCATGTATTGTTAGCTTCAGTCGGATCTTTGAATATTGTGTATTTGTACTCAATGCTTGAATACGCTGTGTGTTGGCAGCAAAATGTCTGTCTCATCCTCATTTTTCCTTAGGACTTCTGAACCGAGTCTTACGGACTCTCAGGTCTAACATTTAACAGAGACGGGGCAGCAGCGCTCTGATAAACCTGAACCTTTAGACTACAATTTTGGGAAACTCTTTTCGTTTTTCTTTTCTTTTTTTAAAACATTGCCCCACACTAGGATTTTCTCTTGTATCGTGGGTGCGTTTACAAACTTACAAGTTCACATACACATCACACACAGACCCGAAACAACAATTTGTGGATCACACAAAGAGTTGCTCCTTGAACCGGCTAACCGGTTACCCAGCCACCGTGTCACCCGTGTAGTCCCTCCGGACAGAGCCGCGGAGAACTGAACTGGTTACTAGGGCTCCGGCTCGAAGTGCAGGAGTAGGAACGGGGTGATTTTTAGTCAGTAACAGTCTGACACTCCCTTCCGCCTCACCCAGGCGGGAGAAATCATTCGATGATTTTACCCCCTTCGGGAGAAATCATTCGATGATTTTACCCCCTTAAAAAACCCGTGTAGTTCCCTCCTATGTAGTTGAAGCTCAGAGTCCAGCAGTAGACTGTAATGGGTCATGGATGTTGATGAACTGTTTTGCATCAGATGTACTGTAAATCTATCCATATATCACTTCAATACCGTTAAAACATGATGAGAATATCATAAAGACAATTCCGTGCATTTCAAGATAAGAATAATATTTTTGATAACGCTTAGCTTGATATTCTGTATATCATAGTGTTACATAAGTGCCCCAAACTGCAGTTTATCATCATCATATCAGCTACAGACGAAATATTCACTGCTAAACAGAGCCCCCCCGGTCTCCCCTCAATGACTTAAGTCTGCTGGCAGTTCATCTCGTAATAACACCGTTCTTCCACTTGCGAGAATTTGAATGAGAGCAGTTATAGTCCAATCTCGCCCCGTCCGTAAAAGTCCAAAGCACTTATAAATATTTGGTGTTGCGGGTATCCATGGGGGGCGCAGGATACTTACCATCAGGTGATCTGCTCGTTACCCACATTTACCACTCAAATTAAAATTTGAATTGTCTGTCCGTTTGTCTGTCAGTGAAGCGAGGCGCTCGGTTCCAAGGTGTAGTTTCTAATAGAGAAGAACGAGCAAGACATATCGTCGTTACACTTTAAAAAAAAATGTCTTTTACATTATCTGATCCCTTACCTATTGTATATATTTATATATTACAATACTAGTAAAGATGAAGCGACGAAAATAAAAAGGAAAAACAGGAACACAAACAATATGAAAATTATCTAATGCACCACTTTATCAGTGATGATTTTTGATAACGTAATCATTAGTCTAGTCATTGTTATTTATTTGACGATATTCAATATTTTTTGCTTCGTTGATAGACCCTACTGATAGGCAAATTAAAGTCCTTGAATCTCCGTATCGGACAAACTAGTGCTGAGTTTTTAAATCTCAATAATGAATGGATTCTGGAGTCCAAATTTCAAAGTCAAAGTCAAAATTATTTATTTCAATTAGACCAGGAAGGCACTTTTGAACGTCAACAACAAAAAAATTTGGAAGTGAAGCTAGTTGCTCCTTCCAAGGTGTAGATTCCTATGGAGAAAAACGAGCAAGAAACTCTATAGGTTACTCTTTTTTAATCAGGTTTACAATACCATTCTCATCAGAGATTAAAAATGATAATTCATGATCATCATTGTCG